AAGTTATTCTTGTTTAAAGTTATAAAAAATTTTTATTATAAAAAATTTGCTTGATTTCTATTGACTCACCCCCATATGCTCAAAGAGGAGCACCTAGTAGAATGTCTTAGAAAAGATGATGAAATAGTAGCTTTTGTAGGAGCCGAGCTACAACTAATATGCTTGTTTAGGTGTTTAATTGAAACTTATGACTAGTTAGAGTATCTGAGAATCAAAAATGGGGAGAATGCTTGACTATTAGACCTAATAGACTTAAATGAAAGTGAAAAAAGAAAGGAGATATTAGTTAATCAGGAATGCAGCATGTCAGATTATGGTATACAAGAGAAATTAAAGTCACAACAGTCCAAAACTAACATCCAAACAAGAAAAAGAAGTGTGAGTCCAATAGAAAAGAAAAGAGAAATCAAGAAATCCTGCAAAAAAGAAGATGATATAGTCAAATTATTCGACACACCTAAAGTACACAGTACAGAATTACTGCTTGTTAAATCTACTAATGAGAATACCCAAGACAATACTCTAAAGATAGATGTTATAGAAACTATAAAAGACGGAGGCAAAGATACAGAGGCTCCAAAAATCTATTATACTCTTTGGGACATACTAGCAGAAGTTAAAGCAATGAGAGTGCGAAGATGTTTGCATTTTTATGGTTGAGTACAATTTAAACACTGGGAATTTGTAGGAACAAAGAAAGCCGTCTCTTTCAACATAACTTTCTGGAACGAAAGAAGAAAAGCTATGTTTACAAATGTCTGGGCTGTGCATTTTGAAGAGGGTAAGATGTTAAGATTATTAGAAGGGGTATTTGACAGGTTCATTCTAGATGAAAGAGGAAAATTTAAAGCGATTCTAAAAAATATCTCAAAGACAGCCCTCGAAACTATGCTGCTAAAATAGTTAAAGCCAGTCAGAGCGCAAGCAGTGTATATTTCACACAACCGGAACAAAAATCAAAGAAGCACAGCATCTGTGGTTTTTAAATCAGAAGAAGAGCTATTAGCAGCACTGGCAAAAAGAATATATTACTACAATACAAGACTAGAATGGGGTACAACAGACGGTATAAAAGAAGAATCCAACAGTTCTGCCTTCAACAAAAGAGGAAGATCCAGGAATCGTTCACTTAAACAGGAAAGAGAAAGTGCAGCAGAGAGAAAAGAAAATTCTTATACTCGGAATGGAGATAGCAAAATCAAAGCAACCAACAAATTAGATCCTCCTGCTTCATTATTGAACAAAAGAAACAAAAATAAGGAGAACATGAAACCCAACTACAAAAACTACAATGAGGGGGCTTCGAAGAACCAGCCAACTCATGAGGATATGGTTCAATCTATACTACTGCAAATTATAGGCAGACTAGACAAGCTAGAAGGTCAAAACAGCTTATCTCATATAATATCCACAAGAGATGATTTTGTGAATCGCTCCTAAGGGCGCCCCAGGTGCAACAATGAAACCCCTAGAAACAAACGAGGGGTTGAGAGTAAAGGCGAGGTTGTGTCCCCAAAGAATGAAGGTAGATGGGAGACATTTGGGAAGAAAGACAGATATAAACAATTTTATATAATGAATATTGGGTTTCACAATATCAATGGATTAAAAAATAACAAGAGACCTGCGGGTCTGTAGTGCAGTGGTTAGCGCTCCCAGGTCTCAAAACGTAAGGTTGTGAGTTCGAAACCCACGAGGGGATCTTTCTCTGCAAAAGAACCACGTTTAGGTTATGAGCTGTAGACATATCCACATAGAGTTATGCGGCATCCAGAAAAGGAAAGAAATCTGACACAAAAAAAGTCATTAACATGAGGAACCCCGAATTAGGACTACGGCTTAAAAACCGAATAGGAATCAAGGCTTGTAGCATGAAGCTAATAAAAGAAAGAACCTGCTTGTTCTTGTAGGGGCCCCTTTCGTTTCGAACGGACCCCGAGTAGGCTCAAGTGGTGCAACCGTAAGAGGAAGTACCAGTGAATATGAAAAGTATACGGGAGTAGGCCTGTGCCCCAAAACCGGCCATGGGAGTAGGTTGGACAAGCCGAAAACTGGAAACACAGAGACAAAAAAGGGATAAGTTTGCAGGGAGGAGATGAATGCAGAATCTGTAAGTTCGAGTATGGAATTAGAAAAGTGTGAAAGTCACAAAATAGGATGAGGCCGTGTTGAAGGTGGCGAACTGCGGGCCTCAGAACAGGGGCCCTACACCGCAGGATCAGGGACCCAGGCTACTAAGGTAGAGTTACCGAACATGTAGTATTAAGGGCTGGGAAACACCACCATTGGTGGTGATGTACGTAGTACTTAATATGTAACTTAAATTCACTGTAATATGTATAAGACCTTAATAAAAGACGCCATTAGCATTCCGACTGCTTAGGCAGTTTGGAAAAATTAAAAAAAAAAATAACAAGAATAAGTTAAAAGTGATTATAGATTATGCAGAGGAAAAAAAAATTGATATTCTTGGTTTGGGAGAAACAAATATTAGCAGCAAAGTATAAACGATTTATCTATTTCTGAATCATTTTTAGATAATGGAAGTGAATTTGGAGCCTTGAATGATGCAACAATTAATGCCCTCGGATGGAAAGCTGACAAGCCATCTGACTTCGATATAAAAGGTAACTCTAAACATATCACCGAATCGTTGGGATGGTTTACAGACGTGCCAGTCAGTATAAAGGATAAGGATGGTAAAACTGTTACAGCTACTGGAAATTTTACACGTATTGATAATGGTGAACCTGAACCAATGTTATGTTTAGGTATGACATGGATTCGAAAAGTTCAAGGTATTCTTGATCAGAATAAAAACCAATTCCGAATAAAATTACATGGTAAGTCTTATATTATTCCAACATTCAGCAAGAGCCCATCTAGCTCGACTAATAAGAAAGACTTAAAAAAAAATGCGATGAACTTGAAAAACAAGTCATGATGACTGAAGAATGGCTTGATATAGCTTTAAAAGCAGGTAAAGTTCTTGCTAAAAGATGTTCTCAGCTTACTGAGACAAAGATAGAAGCATAGGAGCTAATCTTTTAGTATCTTTCATTAATTTTTCAAGATCAGCTTTTCTCTTAGATGTATTGTCTATAAAAGAGGCACTTTTTTTTACTGCACATGAGAAAGTAGAACTTTGAATCTTTGGTCATCCCATCTCTGCTGATTTATCTGATAAAACTTTAAAGTGGTTCACATTAGTCGAGAGGCTAGCTTTACAGCTATTTATATTAGATGAATTATTGCTGAAGCCTGGTACTTCG